TAATCAATCAGACATGAAGTCACGCTTGGAAAGAATAACTACAAGATTTCTATTATACATTGAGGTAGCACGAGCAGCATGGTAGTCAAGTCTTCTCAGTAGCGTTAGCTGTTAAAATTACTGCACCTTTCCTGGATTGGCTACTGAAATCTGCTTCGGAGATCTGCTTGGTACTGCGTATTCCTGAGGCTACGTTTGTTCCTTCTCCTGCTCAGTTTTATATGAAAAAGTCCCCAGTGTCCCCACGGAAACATTAGAAAATCTGGCTCTGCTGACTGCCCAGCCCCTGAACTAACGGGTATTTAGCTGCGCTCCCTAAGGAAGTGACCCGCGCGGGCAGGAGGTTACGCACGCTGTCCCCACAGATGTCAGAGGAAGCTTTCGCATCCACCACCTGAAGGATGTTGGTAAGGAAAGGCAAAGCTAGTTTTCTGAACTGACAGGCCAAAACATGAAAGATCAGCAGTTCCTATGTCCATTTAATCACTTAAGATCTTATGATTGTGATCCTACTGTGACCGATTTGCAAAGATATTCCAGTTACAGAAATAATTTCACTTCTAACCTTATGCCCAGACTATATCCACCAACAGTCAGTGGCAGACAGATGTGCCTCAAACAAAACAGTTTTGCACTGGAAATAGTAGTCAGTGTGGTATTGTGGTCAGGCAATAAAACCACCACCTTGAGCTTCGTCTGACTTTTATCTCGTGAGCCAAGCCAGAATGAAGCAAGTTTGCCTACAAAAAACCCCCCCAAAACCAAAACACAGCCACATGCAAACTGTGAGGTCCAACAGCAATGCAGCATTGCCATCTCGTATGGCAGCACCTACTAAAACTTGCTTTCCATCAAGACAGCTCTACTCCCTCATCTCTGGGCAGTATTATGCTGGACAAGTTACTATTAAAATTATTTGAAGAAAACTTGCCAAAAAGTGGAATGCATTATGTAAGCACAGGATTTCAGTTTTAGATTTTAAAGCCAGCTCAGACACATAATTATATTAATACAATATATTGTGAAAGAATAATAAATACTGATTACATACTTAAAAGATTTAGGCTTGAAATCATTCGTCAAGAATAAAGCTATGATCATAGCCTGACTTATTAAGAGCCTGTACTATTTAATGATCAATGATTTAATATTCAATAGCTCTAGGAAATTAAAGAGGAATATTGGACTCTTATTATATTAAGTATATGAATAGGCCCTGTCAAAGGCATTCGCTAGAACGTAAATGACTTAGCAATCAACACACCACTGTCAATAAAACCGATACAAGCATAAAAGGGAAACAACTCCACTGGTGAGGAGCAAATCCATGGGAGCTCTTTCCTTGGAAATCAAATACAGGTCAAGCAGGAGTGTAAAAGCAGCAGTTGTCACAAATGAAACGATAAAAGGTAAAGAAAGCAAACCCATCAAGTAATCATGCAATCAAAAGAAAAACAGAACACATTTATACAATATACACACTACATCTACAAATTTCAGTTGTTGTTTTTAAAGCAGTCTAGGTATCTTTTCACCCTGTCAGATACAATGAAAGGCCTTGAGAAGCAGAGCTGGTTTGAGAGAAGTAATTTTTCCAGTGGAAATGTGCAGACCAGATTAGAAGTAGACTTAGAGAGAAGTAATTAACGTAACACGAGACCATCTGAACCAAAGGTGTTTTACACGAAAGTTGTAGCTTACGTTTCGTTCCTACAGCTGCATAAAGCTACATCCTTTCCAAAGCTTCCACATTTAAGAAGGTTACATTTCTACTCACTGTTATGAACAAAATCTTTAAACTCTCATATTATAATTTGACCATTTGATGCCTTCTGAATTCTGCAAACAGTCTAAAATGACTCAGAAGAAAAAAATATGATCCCACTCAGCCCGAATTAACCTACCATTTTAACACTGTAGTTGGATATTGGGAGTTAAGTACAGATAATGGACTGACGTGACAGAATTCCAGTATTCTCCTCTTGGATGACAAAATATGGAGGACAGACTGTCTCTCCTTCTACTTTTCACAGAGCAGTTCATTCATTTATTTATTTATTTTCTGGATGAAAATCCGTATGCCACAAGCTGTAGCACGGATGATGGAAATCCAGGGAAAGCGGTGATCTATCTACTCATACAATTCAGCAAACCAGTACTTCACTCAAAAGTTAACATGAAGGTACCACAAAATTAACCTGGGTGACCTGATAAACACTGCTTCACGTAAGGTTCATCCCTGAGAGGTCAACCTGGAAAAGCAGTCTTGTGAGATGTGCTATCCTCTCAGCTATCTGAAGACCAAGTTCAATTTACATGAGGAAAATGCATCATTTTCTTTTGCTGCCAAAAATGAAAATACACCATTTAACAGGCCTCTAACTTTCTTTCCCCATTCTTGCTAATAAATTGCAGAGAGTAAATGTAGCGAGGGTAAAGACAACCAAATAGAACATATCCCATTCAAGGGCTGTTAACGAATACAAATACTGAGCAGAAGCAGTATTTTCTAATCATCTCTATAAACACTAGCTGACTCAAAGAAGATGGTGAGGAAATCACAAAATCACATTGCCTACCTCAAGTACTTTTATAACCTGCATTGAAGTGACATCCAAAAAAAAAAAACAAAAACCAAACCCTCACAACACAAAACATCTTTACTCTGTGCAATATCCCAGTAGTAATTGAGGGAAGGTGTTTCTGCATCTGGAGGTCAATGCTACTTCCTTCATTTTGTAGATGGGAATCTAAGGCACAGACTTGAACGACTTGTTCAAAGCCTCACAAGAAGTCTGGGGTGGAACATGGAACTCAGTTGCCTTTTTAGCTATGGATATAAAGATGCCATCGTGCTCCCTCCTATCACATACCTTGCACACCAGCCCCAAGCAGCCAAGGTGAACTTGCCAACTTTGTCTCGAGTTCTGGGAAAGGTTACATCTCTCTCAGCAAGAAAACATACCAGAGATGTCCGAGTACTCTGTCTCACAGAAAAATGTAACATGTCCAGGAATGATTACTTATGCAAATTTATATGCTGTGAATTAGCTGAGGATGGAATTACTTTTTTTCAGAGCTGTCACCTGCAAAGTACTTTCTTTTTAGCCTTCCTCTCATCTACTTTAAAAATAAAAAAAATTAAGAAGGGAGACATGGCACACTTCAAATGCCACTATATTATGATAAAAACAACCACCACCAAACCACAATCTGCTTGTTACTTTTACAGTATCCTAGAAGCAGAGGTCTTTTCAGACAGATTAGCCCCAAGAGTGAGGACAAGAGAATCAAACCACTACATAAAATGCTATCCTGGCTCCAGATCGGTTCTTGATCTTCAATAGAAACAACAAAACCCCAAAACAACAACAACAAAATAATAAATCACTCTCAACAAAGTAAAACCACCTTTAATTAAATTCCTACAGAAAACAACATTTCTATGCAAAACAACTGTTTAGTCAAAAAAGTAAATATCTATGTTTAATTCTCTTTCAAATGTCAAGAATAATTGAGGGCTACCAGTGTTCCTTGGAGAACAAGCAGTAGTTAAAGTCTGTCTTGCTGATGTTTCAGAAACAGTATGTTACATCTTTCAACCAGCAGCTCCCTATTGCACGTAACAAATTTGCTCTCCATTTAAGCACCTAAAAGCCTGGTACCTCAAATAAATTAAAACAAATCCAGTTTCTTCAGCAACCATCTTCAACATACATATCTTGGTAAAGCGACATTACTGCAAGCTTTTAATAAATACAGAAAGAAAAGATTAATGACTTCTCATTGCCGGTTTATGGAATGATCTTTTCCCATAAACACCTGCTTTTCCAAACATTTGGGTTTTTTGGTATGTATGCTCTAAAAATCACTATGTGTAGTACGTTTAATGCAAATTTTCCATACATAAGTCAGTACATTTGCATGGCACAACTAATCTGAGATATGAATTTCAATGTAAGGCTGTAAGGAGCTTCTTGCTGAACCTGAAATAAAGGTGGCTCTGAAGGAGTTGAAAACAAAGCCCCAGACGCCGAATGGGAGACCATTACCATGAGGGATTCTCAGACATGTTTGGAATTGGCCTAACTTTCCTCTTACCAAAGAGCTTCTTCTGTGTGTGCTATGTCAGGGGAACAAAACTGTGCAACCCTGAACATCTGGGTGCTGCATCATTTTCAAAGGTCTCTCCCTCTCCCATCTCCCGCCCTACCCCCCATCTTACAAATATCTACTCTTCTTTTGGCAGCAGTACAAGACATTAAGCAGCTCCCTGTAGTACAATGATACTGTGGTTGCTATTTACAGTAGAATCAATGCATCTGTGCCAGTAGGGCAGAGTTCATATGAAAAATATACACAATATGGTCATTTTTAGCCAGATTAGGATATAAAAAAAAAATTTACTCTTCAAGTCCCAACTTTAAACAAAGAACAGTTCTGCCAGAGGCCTTCAAACCTCCTGAGTATGTTAGAGTACATTACCCTAACATATAAAAACAAATATTTACACCTCCATAAAGTACCAAAGAATTTTTAAAAACGCCTAGTAGCTCTCAGCGTGCAAAGTCA